GCACGTATAAAGCCTGGAGAATTTTAGAGGCACCTCGAAGAGGGCCTAAGAGCTGTGTTCTGCTATGGAGAGGGTTGCAATTCATGGGAGAGTGCAGACTTGTTTTTATGGTTCTGATTGGAAGGGCCAATGGGCGAAAGCTCCAGAGAGATAACTTTTGAGTCGGCGTAATGAAGAACTTTCTAGTAGTGAGGATTTCTCCAGGATGCAGCAGACTGCCCTGAGAACCTGCAAAGCACACGCTGGCTTGAGAGGCAGCCAGGGAGGAGACTGTGCTTTAAATGGAGCAGGGAGCAAGCAGAACTGCGTGCATCCTGACAGGCTCTTTTGGTTCTGAGATTGCAGGCTCTGTTACGAAAACAAAAACAAAAAAACAAACGAACACCATTGATTAATTTCCTACAAGGCGCTTGGCCTATCATATTCATGCACTCATTTAATCTTGACATCAGGTTTGCCAGGCAGGTGTAATCCAGCTCATGGATGAGGAAACGAGGTTTGGAGAAGTGAGGTAACTTGCCCGGGAGAAACTGGCAGGGCCAGGATTTGCATGTAAGCTGTGCCTGGCCCTAGAGCGCCATCTAATAAGCCATCTGCCACTGCCTGGCCCCAGGATTTAGGTTTATACACGCTTCACCCACGTCACCAGCACAGTTTGGTTCATTTTGTTTTGTTTTCATGTGCCTCAGTTTCCCCTCCAGCGTCCCTACCTCTCTGATGCTGGAAGTTGTCCAGCAGGCTAGACCATCAGACACAGTCTGCTCTGGGAGCGTGGAGGTCTGGCCTGGGTCACAGACAGTTCCCAGACTGGTTGGTCTGAGACTCCCTTTGTTTCTTTCTAGAAGGAATATCCACTGTTTACCAACTTGTTATTGGACCTCTGGACACATTTATGGATCCACATGGCCTGGGAAAGGTAAGCAGGTGATATGTAGCATGGCAGCTACAGCTGAGAGAAGGTTTTAGAAAGGTCTGTGGCTTCAGTTACAGGCCTTATATATAAAAAAAAAAAAAAAGAACCTAAACCCAGCAGGCTGCCTGCCAGGAGTCTGTGAAACATGGTCCAGGCCAAAGCCAGTGTTGGCCAAGAGGGAAATTACAGGCCTTCTGCAGAAACCTTCCAGGGTTGTTTTTGGCATATGTTTGTTTGCATACATGTGTGTTTATGTGGACATGTTTTTCAAAGCGTGTCTCTCTTTTTCTCTTTATGTCTTTAGCCCTGAGACCCTTTTTAAAAGCAGTGTAGAAACTCCACTTTGAAATACTTTATCCCTGGATGATATTTGTGTCAATTCCATTTAGTCCAGGTCAAGCCAGCCAGTATTTACTGGCAGCCTATGTCTGTGCTGAGTTCTGGGGACCTAGGGACACAGAAGGCTCTGCTCTGTCCCGAAGTAGCTCAGTGTCCCCCCCCCCCCAAGAAAAATGCACATGCACAAATACCAATTCCGGAGTACCCTGGGGGCCAAGATCGTTTCAATTGGGTGTAGCTGAGACCTAAAGGAGGGGAAGTCTTAGTTCTTAGCAGAGAGGTGGTCAGGAAATGTCCTTACAGGCAGACAAAGGTGCGGGGTGGGGGGCGGGGAGAAGGGGCATTCCAGGCAAAGGAAAGAGACTCTGAGGGAACTTATCTAAAGGTCAGAGACGTGTGACTTGTCCAAGGTCACACAGCTGGAAAGCAGCAGCCTGAGGATTGAACCCAGGTCTCTCTGATTCCTCTCCACCCCAGCAAACAAACCTGATGTTAAAGCTCAGTGGCTTGGCTGCAGGACTGTGTCCAGGTCTTTACATCCTTCCTATCCCTTAAGAAACAGCTGAGTCATACATTCCCCAGAAAGGCTACTATCACACCCACTGCTGAGTTCCTAGAAAAAATATGCGTCAGTATTCTAGGTATCATTTAATAGAGCTATGCTTTTCTCTTCAACAGTAGAAACACACGCATTCATTTCTTTATTTTTTATAAATAAGGATTTGTGATTTCTGCGTCATGACTGGGCTCAGCAAAGAAGGGACAGAAGGAATAATGGAACTGTCTTTGAAGGCAGAGATGATTTTAAATTCCTTTTTTACTTCCCATCACATGTAGTAGGTTCTTAAGAAATACATACAGAGCTAGCTGCGCTGGCTGGGCTGCAGTCCTTTATGGAGGTGTATTAGTCAGATATTGCTGCAGTAATGCTGGGCAACAAACCACCCATGCTCAGTTGCTTTATATCTACAAGCATTTGTTTTTCTCACAGGTTTGAGGGTTAGGTTCAGGCTGCAGGTTTGGTTTGGGGCTTTGGGTCAGGTTTGGGTCTGTTCCATATGTCTCATTGTGGGCTCCAGGCTGAAAAGGTAGTGTCTGGTTGCTCTTCTTGTGATAAATGAACAAGTGAGCAGACAAGACCATGAAGAAGCAGATGATGCCTCTTAAGGTCTCAGCCCAGAACTTCCATGCTGTCATTTCCATCCATATTCCTTTGCCTGTGATAAAGTCAATGGCCAAACTCAATATCACTGGGAGGCCCTATAAAGTCAAACGGCACAGGATGTAACTCTGATATGAGGAGAGCGTGATGAATGGAGAAAAGCCTGGGGCTTCAGACCTAGGCTTGATTTCAGATTTGAGCTATCTTTTGCCTGCTTCCATAACCCTCCAGAATCTCTTTCCTCCTCGCTTACCGAGTGTTTACAATGTGCCAATCGCCAAGCTTAGCATATTACGAACATGGCTGTGTGTTAAGGAAGGAAAGGCAGGGATTCAGCTCCCACTTAATGGATGAAGAAACAGAGAGGGGGAGGTAAGTGACTTGCCCAAAGTCACATGGCTGCATCCAGTGTCATGCCAGGTCCAACTGTGCCCCCTCAACTTAATTGAAAGGAGGTGCGTGTCCTGTCTGCCACTTAGAAGATGCTTCTTTCAATTGAATTTCTGTCTCTGTTCTCCTTAAAGAATCCTGGAACCTTCCAGGTCTCTGGCCTTTTACTTTCTGGTGAACTTTACCCAAGGGATCACCCGCTGATGTGGTTACCACCACCCAGGCTTCAAAGTTCATTGTTGCTTAGAAAAAAAAAAAAGTAAGGGCTATTTTTAGCAGTGACCGGAGGGCGGTCACCCTCCCCAGTCACAAGTTTTGAGGAGAAAGGACGCTTGAGCAAAGCCTGGATGATGTTGGTGGTGCAACGTGTTTGGTGCGAAGGCGTATTTCATAATCACCAAGCCTGTCAGGTGATTCGAAGGCCTTTGCTCCCAGATAGCTTTCCACTTAGGGCCAGCTGCTCTGACATCGTTGGGGAGGGACAGCTGGCAGCCTGCCTTTTGCAAGACTTGATTCATGAGACACGGAAGATACTAACAGCAGCAGATCTTTGGATCACACAGACCTGATCTAAATCAAGGCTGTACTGTGGCTGGCTGGGTGGCCTCGCCCTTGGCGATGCTGTTCCCTCTGCTTGTAGCACACCTTCTCAGGGCCAGCTCTCTGCCTAAATGTCCCTTCGCCCGCCCGGGAGATCTTACCTGACCCCCTCCAGGCCTGTGCTCCTCAGACACACCCAGGCTCTGCATTTAGGCCATTCTAATGGCTTGCTTAATTGGCTCTCTGCTACTAGGATAAATGCTCTGTGAAAACAAGCCCTAACCTTCGTTTCTACCAAAATCCTGCTTCCCAGCATGGTGCCTAATGCCTACTAGGCACTCTATGAATGTTTGTCTAGTGAATTCAATAATAAGTTGCTAAAAGCAGGTTATTGCTTTGCAGTCTTTTTGTGGTAGATTCAATGGTGTCTGCTCTATGGAAGCCATTTGGCTATACAATACATCCTTGCTACTCAAAGTGTGGTCCTTGGACCTGCCTCTCTTGGGAATTCATAAGAAAAGGAGCATCTCAGGCCCCGCCTCAGACCTACTGAATGAATCACAAGCTACATTTTAGCCAGATCTTAGGCAAGTCGTGTGCACACTAAAAAAGAGCTGTAGGATGCTTTTAGAAATCAAATCTACCGTATTTGCCGGCGTATAAGACGATTTTTTGGCCCTAAAAAATATGCCTCCAAGTGGGGGGTCGTCTTATACGCCAGGTACACTTCAGATAGACTGCCCATAGTGCTTGCCCCGTGCCATAGTGGCCTCCCGATGCCCGCCCACTTCATTCCACATACCGTTCAGGCATCAGCAGCGCTGCTGGGTGTATGGTCGGCTGTGTGCGATTTTGCGAGTGTGGTAAATTCGGGTTACCGTATATTTCTTTACATATGCATTGAAGATTCGCGATTTTGCGCTATCATGGTGCCTGTTAGAATGTTGAAGAGCTCGCACTTGCGCACTAGTGAGGTCCCAGGGAGATGCTGATGCAAGGGTGGACCAGACTGCTATAGTGACAGGGCGGGCAAACAGGGAGCAGGGACCAATCAAATCAGTCTTTGTATACAGCCAACAGCCAACCACAATACTGCACCATTGTACAGTACAGCATAGAAAATGTCGACCAGTCAAACCCCTATCATCCCTATCATGGCACCAGCCAAAAGAAAGAAGTATGATGCAAATTTTAAACTGAAAGTTATAAACTTTGCTAAGGAAAATAATAATTGTGCTGCTGCAAGACAATATGGAGTAACAGAAAAGATGGTTCGGGACTGGAAATCAAATGAGAAAGCATTAAAGAGTATGCCAAGGGGTAAGTGTGCATTAAGAAGAGGCACCCCACACTGGCCAGAACTCGAAAAACATGTAGCAGACATGGTGGCTCAACATCGCCAAAACGGTTATGTGGTGACACGAAATACAATACGCTTGTTTGCACATCAGTGGGCCAAATCAAATCTGATATTGTTTTACCTTTTATTTGGTGTGTGGAAGGTGTGCGGAAGAGGGGGTAGTCTTATACGGCGAGTATATAACAAACTCTGTATTTTGAGTGGAAATGTTAGGGGGTCGTCTTATACGCCCAGTCGTCTTATACGCCGGCAAATACGGTAATTGCAGAGTCTTCTCTTGGGATATTCCAAGACTGCCACAGTCTCTAAAGCCAGTTCCATTAGTAGGAGCAGCCTGGTAATGCTAAGTGTGCAGACCCTGAGGGGGAACTGCTTGGACAGGACTGCCATTGGTCCTGATGGACAGGTGGTGTCCTGTCCATTTGTTTGTTAAGCAGTTGATCACCTGAGTCTTTCTAGTGACTAGCTCCAGGAGCATGCTGGCTGCACCATGGCCCCTGGGGAGATTTTCCATTAACTCTCTAACAGGAGCCAGGGGATGGGGTGAGTGCTTGGTGTCTAATCCTCCCTCCCAGTCTGTGAGGCAGGTATTATAATCTCCATTTTATGTGGGAGGAGGCTGAGTCCAGGAAGGGTAAGCCACTTGCCCATGGCCACACCGTTGGGAAGTGGCAAAGCAGGGATGTACTCTTTGTACCAGGGTGACTCCCAGGGACGCTACCCTTCTAACTCTGACAGTAAAACTTGTCCCTTATTCCACATCCTGTCCTTACCTCCTCTTCATGCAGGACCACCTACATTCTCTGAACCACATGAGCTGGCCTTTCTTTACTCTCCTGACCTCATCTCCTACTGTGTATGTCCATGGCTCCCTGTGTTTTAACCACACTGGCATGCTTTCTGTCCCTTGAACACAAAGCTGCTGCCTACCCCAGGACCTTTGCACTTCCTCTGCCTATAGCATATCTCTTCAGAGCGTCTTCCTGTGTTTGTCTTTTTCTTCTCATTCAGGCCTCATTCTAATGTGACCCCTTCAGACAGCCTCTCCCCAGCCATCCTAGGGATCATCTTCCCATCTCTCCACTGCCAACCAACACTCACTCTCATTCACATCATTTTATTTTTTTTATAGCACTTAATTTATCCAAAATCACCATGGGCATTTGTTCAGATGCTTTGACCGCCCCCACTTCCTGACTCATTAGAGCGGAA